GCAATTTTGATTTTATGAAAACTAACACCGCATTCGTACATAGCGACCCAAAAAACACTTGAGTAACAAATTTCGGAAGAATCTGAGTAAATTTAAAATTTAATCCGCCATATTGGATCCGCCATTTTGAATTTCTAAAAACTAACACCAGATTCGTAATCAGCGACCCCAAAAACCCCCGAGTAAGAAATTTCAGAAGAATCCGAGTAAATTTTAAAATTTAATCCGCCATTTTGAATTTCTAAAAACTAACACCAGATTCGTAATCAGCGACCCCAAAAACCCCCAAGTAACAATTTCCAAGTAAATTCAATCAATTTTGTTAAAATTAGTCGCCATATTGGATCCGCCATTTTGAATTTTGAAAAACGCCACACGGAATTAAAAAGTACTTATTTTTATTGAAATAATAGGCCTATGCCCGATATTTTATACTTAAACCAATTTTGGACAGAGGGGGGCTTCAGTTGACAAAGAATGCCTCATATATATTTTGGTTTTCTTAGAAAATCATTGGAATATTCCACGGTGATATTCAAGGGATGTTGAGGGGCTACACCGTGCTGCTTGGGTTCCTCTATTATATAATATTAAAAAATGGAAATGGAAAATGAAAAAAATGTTAATAATTTCCTACATGACTGTAATTATGGCGTCGCAAATGACTTTCTCACAAATAAGACTTCTTATGATTTAAAAATTTAATTATTATTTAACAATATTAATTTAAAATTTGATATATGTTTATTTTTTTCGATATAATGAATCAATAAATCTTGTTTTTTGAATTGATGTTTCATGTTTATATTCATTACATTGTATTATAATTTTTCATTAACAGCAACACCATAAAATTTGTTTAAAAATATTTATAAAATTTGAATTTTAATTCTTGACAATTTTTCTAAAAAACAAAGAATAAAGCATCTCATGTCACTCCCAATCTTACACAAATGCACTCAATCAATGCACATTTCCGAAGATTTCATGCACATTTTTTTTAAAAATATTTATAAAATTTGAATTTTAATTCTTGACAATTTTTCTAAATAACAAAGAATAAAGCATCTCATGTCACTCCCAATCTTACACAAATGCACTCAATCAATGCACATTTCCGAAGATTTCAATGCACATTTCCCTTTTAGATTTTTAAATCATTGATTACGGAGATCGCTAAAACGATTTAACATTCGTTTTGGCTTTGATAAATACGAAGATCAGTTCCCTTATATATTTTTAGATTTACAAATTTTAATACTATATAATATTAACAAGTAGGGTATTTGTTAGGAAAAGTGGTAAGGCCAGTTTTCCTTACATAGCATTTAGTAGCAATTGAAAAAAAGGAGAAACAATTTACAATCAATATTGTAGAATAAAATCAGAATTTAAGTCAACAGACATATGAGGCAAAATTCCTGAAATGTCCGAACAAAAAATTAAAAGTTCTCGAATTTAATCCATACTTTTCTAAAATGTTGTTATTGTTGGTGAAAGTCTAAAAATCAATTATTATTGAATTTAATAAAATAGTTTTTGAATTACAACGTTTTTAATTTTTGACTTTTGAAAAAAAAATTTTTTTTCAATGTACAATATTTATAAGTAGAATGCATAAAAGTTAACATATATATAATGATTTTTAAAGCTTTTTTGACAAGCTACACGCTGTTAATAAAATTTTTTTTTTAAATAACATTTGACCTTGAGATTCAAGGTCAAAATGTTAATTTACGTTTATCTCAAAATCGGATTTTTTAAAATTATTTTTAACTATCTCAATGGAAAGCTTGAAAAATTTCCTACAAAATATGTAATTTTCAGAGTGGGATCTTTTAAAGTTTTTGAGATATTAATTAATTAATTAATTAATGTTTATAACAAATGAAATATATTACAAACGAATAAAGTTACCGTAATTCTGAAGTTAGTAATTGAAAGTTAACGTAATTCCGCATCCAACGAGCCCTATATGAAGTATTTTGGATAAGTAGATTGTTAATAAACAATTAGTTAACATTGCAATTGTTTATAACCAATCTACTTATCCAAAATACTTCATATAGGGCTCGTTGGATGCGGAATTAGCTTAACTTTCAATTGGTTAGTTTAGATTTATGATAACTTTATTTGTTTGTAAGATATTTCATTTTTTATTGTTATTTAACTAAAATTGAACAAAAATACTTCATATAGGGCTTTTGGATGCTTGTTGTTAGTAAAAAATAAAATATTTTACAAACAAATAAAGTTATGGTAATTCTGAACTTACCAATTGAAAGTTAAGGTAATTCCACATCCAACGAGCCCTATATGAAGTATTTTGGATAAGTAGATTGTTAATAAACAATTGCAATGTTAACTAATTGTTTATTAACAATCTACTTATCCAAAATACTTCATATAGGGCTCGTTGGATGCGGAATTACGTTAACTTTCAATTACTAACTTCAGAATTACGGTAACTTTATTCGTTTGTAATATATTTCATTTGTTATAAACATTAATTAATTAATTAATTAATATCTCAAAAACTTTAAAAGATCCCACTCTGAAAATTACATATTTTGTAGGAAATTTGTCAAGCTTTCCATTGAGATAGTTAAAAATAATTTTAAAAAATCCGATTTTGAGATAAACGTAAATTAACATTTTGACCTTGAATTTCAAGGTCAAATGTTATTTAAAAAAAAATCTTTATTAACAGCGTGTAGCTCGTCAAAAAAGCTTTAAAAATCATTATATATATGTTAACTTTTATGCATTCTACTTATAAATATTGTACATTGAAAAAAATTTTTTTTTTCAAAATTCAAAAATTAAAAACGTTGTAATTCAAAAACTATTTTATTAAATTCAATAATAATTTATTTTTAGACTTTCACCAACAATAACAACATTTTAGAAAAGTATGGATTAAATTCGAGAACTTATAATTTTTTGTTCGGACATTTCAGGAATTTTGCCTCATATAAAATTTGTTTTAGTACATTAAATTAAATTTTTTTTAAAAAGTAATTTGAAAATTAAAAAAATTGAATTACTATAATTTATAATGAAATAATAATTTAAAACAAAAAATAAATATACATATGAATAAACTACAATACGTAAAGAAAATAAAGTAAAACTTTAACCGAGCGAGCGAGGAATATATCGCTAGTATATAATTAATCTCCATCTCCACAAATAATGCTTTTCACTACTTTTGTCACTCTTCCGCCATTTTTAAATATTGATGCACTGCGCAGTCTATAGTAACTCTTACGAAATAAAAAGTATTTCAAACTACGCTGTTTAGTAGAATCTAATGAACGGAACTATACTACGTTTCATACATGCAACTTTATATTTAGTCGTTATTACTACTTTTTCGCTTAGTAAACGCGTAAAGTAGAATCCACTAAAACTCTTCTCTCCGCGCACTTGTGTAGTATTCCTTGTCACATGACCGTTATCGACAAAAAGCAATTCGGTCGTCTAATGGGGACTATAAGCAATACATTTTATAGAATTCATGTGACTACCTAATGGAAAAAATACCATTGGCGTATTAATGGTCCAATAATGGGAGCCAGGGATGCCAATATAATTTCAATAATGGCACCCAATAATGGACCATTATTGGTAATGTCATGGGCTGTCCACGCCGATGCCAATGATTGGCAAATTATTGGCAATCAATAATTAGCCAATATTAAAAATTTTAATAATAATTTAAAAAATCAATTATTTAAAAAAATTTTTTTTTATTTTCATTATTTTTTAATAATTGTTATTATTATTTTATTTTTAACAATTAAATTAAAATTAAAAAATGGTCATCACAGTATTAGTGAAACCATTTCTTTCAAAAAAAAGTTTGTCTCACATCCCAATAAATATGAGAGACATCGGGCAGAAAAAAATTTCGACGAGAAAATAATTTTCGATCACTGGTTATATACCAATCTAATGGCATCTCAACGGCCAGAAACAGTGATGTTCTCCCTCCCTGTGGCGTTGAGCGAACTAAAGGAGAGAAATTCGAAATTCAAAATAGCGGATATAAAATGAAAAATTAATAACTTTTTAAAAATTTGATCGCCATATTGGATCCACCATTTTAAATTTTCAAAATCTGACATCAGATTAATAATCAGCGACCCCGAAAACCCCTACTTACCAAGTTTTATAAAATATTTCTAATTTTTAAAAGATATATTGTCACTTTTCATTTAGGGGTTGTTTTCACCCCTAAAAACAACAAACGACTTGATCTAGCAAAACGGCCAGACACGGGTATTTTTTTTGGGTCCTAGTTTCCGAAAATGTTGGATTTTTTTGTGGGTCAAAAATCGTGTCGGACGGTGTAATCAAACTAGAAGTTTTCAGTTTTTATTGTCATTTTCATGCAACCTAAAGATGCTTTAAGCCTACCGTGTTATGTCTTAACACATCATACCATGCTAGGCACGATTTGAAATTAGAATTAAATTAGGAAATATACTTTACAACTTATAATAAAGCCGCAGCGTGCAATAACATGCACGCTTTACTTTGTTTGGACTGTCTGTTCCAACCACAATGTCTACTGCGAGTTGCGATAGCCCTGCGTTGGTGTTGTTGTTGCACGCTGCAGCTCAATTGAATAATTCACAATCATTTCTTTTTGTTTTTTCAGCGAAATAATGGTAACTTCCGAACTTATCATGATTTTCCCTATTAAAAATCCCTGTACAAGAACTTGTACAAGAAAATGAACATGTTCAGCAGCTGAACTTGTACAAGTTCTGGTGCGGAAAATGTACATTTTCTTTTACTAGAATTTGGAACAAGTTCTTGTATCAGATCATGTACAAGAAAATTTATTTAATATTTGTATACAAGAAAATATACGTATTCTTGTACACATTCTTGTGTAGGTTCATGTATATTTTCTTGTACAAGATTTTGTACAGGGATTTTTAATAGAGTTATTTTCAATTAATTGAATATATTAATTTATTCTTTTATAGATTAATGCCTCCAATCATAAAACTGATACAGTTTTGCGGGATTTAAAGAAAACACGCAATTACACCTACGAGGATGAAATTACTTGCTCCAAAGAATACTTAGAAAATTATGAAGAAAAGGTGATATATATTTGTCTTAAGCCATTTTCTCTCTATCAGTTAAGAATAACTGTAGAATAGTAAGGTTACATGTAAAGATTGTAGTAAGATTACATGTAAGGTTGTAGTATGCTTACATGTAAAGATTTAAGTAAGCTTACATGTAAGGATGTAGTATGCTTACATGTAAAAGTTGTACACATGAAAAAAAGTCTTACTCCGAACATAGTCTAATTTCTTATTTTGATTAGAAAGTAGCCGATAACTAATATTAATCACAAATAATGGTCTAAAAATAAGCCGTTGAGGTCTTAATGAAAAACGAGATATTAATATGAAAAATATTTAGTTCTATTAGATTCAAAACAAGCCTTTGTGGTCTTGGACTCAATACAAAATTTTATTTGCTATAAATGAGACGTTAAAAGTCTTCAATCAATCCCATGAGGTCTAGATACTATTGAGTTGTAACTAGACGTACAACGAAAGTGCCACGAGTGTAAAGTGTCATGGACGCCTTTCCAAAAATGTGACGCGTCTATATTTAATCGGAACTTAAAGAATTAATTCAAAAAACTCTCATCTTCATTCCTGTATAAAAAATTTAAAAACTATGTTTATAAAACATTTTCATATCATGAATTGTTTTTGTCCTATAAATTCAGCTTTAGTTGTTATATGAATGTGAAAATAATGTTATATATACAACATAATTTTATTACAATTTTCTCACACATATAAAAATGTATAAATTATATACAAAAATAAATTGGTCTCTTTATGTTTTATATATATATAAAGTATAATTTATATTAATAAGATGTTTTTTGATGTTTTAAAACTTGTGTAAAATTTCAATAATATGGTGTTGACAGGTTTCATAAAAGTTTAGGTTATGTTAGCTAATTTTAGCCCAGGTTCGGGCTTGTGGATACTTTCTATTTCGAAAGGCAGCTTATTGTTATCCCCTACAGTAGGCTTAAAGTAAGACTTATTCTATGAGCGAGTTAGAAACTATATCACTCTAGTTTGTGTCCCATATTGAAACTAGCTTCTTTTCAGGTGTGAAACAAAACTTATTTTTTCCTGTGTAGTACCTTACTCAGTAAGGTTATGGTAATCTTACGTGGTAAGGTAACCCAGTAAATAATAAAAGATACCAAAACTGCGGATTCTGGTTACAAGCTCAATAGCTGGTAAACAAATCAGTGAAAATCTCGGATACGAGCACTTTTCGGTATCCGAAATGATTATAAGCTTGTAAACGTACTGCAACGGAAGACTTTTGTAGAGCTTTTAATCAAGCAAAAGCAGTTAAATGGATGTAGAAACAATGGAAAATTAAATTAGAAAAGAATGAATGATTATTTATTAAAGAAACGTACATTTAACCAAAAAACAATTATTCTCATCAATTCAAACTTCTCCATTAAAAACATTGTGAGAACAGTGTACTGTTGGTAATTTTACCATGCAATTCGGAAAATATGTCTTTCTACTTTAACAACACTGGATATTAATTTAAAAGGGGTGTTTCGATTTTTCAATTTCAAAAGCAATCCAAAATTATTAAAATACTAGCTAAAAGAAACGCGCGTGGTATATATAATTTTTTATGAAAAATTAAAAATTTATTTTTATTTGACGAAAAGTTATTGGAATTTTGATCTCACAAAATTAATAATGTTATTTTTGAAATCGTTACTGTATTACTATTTCAACATTATGGTGTTATAATAATATAATACCTATTATTGCACAGTCAATATGACCTTTAAATTTTGTACTCAAAAAAAGATTATATGCTACGATCATCGAATTGTTAGCAATATATTTAATTGACCCATCTCAGGATCCATGCAGGGTGAATTCCTATTTTGTTTACCACAATGCCCATGAACTTAAAATCGCTTTACAATGTTAAAAAGTTCTGGATTCTTTATTTCGTCTGTGATTTCAGCCCATGTAATTTTATTTAAAGTTTCTGAATCGCAAATTTGTGTACGTAAAAATATAATTAAACGCACATGTGTCAATCCCAGCATTTTTCTTCTCTATGAAAGACGATACATATCAAATTGTAAATGAATAAAATTACAAGTACCTTGAGTATGCTTAAGGTTAACAGTCCATCCAGGATCACCATAAGGAAACATTGTAGGATATGTCATGGGATTAAAATTTTCACTAACAATAAGACTAGAAATTATTTTCTCATTATTTTCTGTTGTGCATACTGAATTTACATCAACATGTAAATCCTTCCTCAATTTCTGTAGATAATTTCTTTATCCTACATGACAAATTTTTTTCTTTGGGTATTTTCTTTTCATTCTCAGTTTCAGTAGACAGAACTCTGTTGTCATTTTTACTGGCAAAAGTCTTACAAAAATATGAAAGGTTTAGTCCACCATTTTGAAGTTCTTTAGCTCGATTTATGAAAAGACAATTCCAATCATTCTCTACAAATCGAAATACTAATATTAGACATTCTAACTGCCGGAAAATGATTTAATTAATTGTTTTCAAAAAATGATATCAAATGCTTGCTCACTATATTATTATCAATTTCATAAATTGATATTTTAATTTACACTGTTAACCAATACAGATGTTGCAAATGCTATTTCATATACTTCACACTTAACTGTACCAATCGGTTGTTGATCAAGAGCTTCAAAAACTACTGTTGGTTGAAAAGGGAACAATCTAATTAAATATTCTACTTGGAAGAACATTCAAACACCCTGCATTAAGACTTTCAAAAATATAAAGTTTTCTAATGTCTTTAAATCTCTTTGTCTCTCAAATTAACAATTGATATTCAAATCAATATTCTGCTCACAAACTATTATTTCACCCGTAAAACAATATTCAACCCGCTTTTTATGTAATTAATTTTCAAAAAGCAAGCTTCCACTAATATCAAACATATAATATTTTTTTCCAATATCAAAATATATTCAATACCAATTTTATCCTCAAAATCCAAATAATATCCTTATTACCAATGTTGTCCAACACAGCATTATAAATAAATAGAATAATTGTTTCGAAGTGCAAAAAAACCGATTTGGAATAAGAAATATATAATTTTTTAAAAAGAAATAAAAGCGAAGTGTGACAGATCCACCGACAATTTTATCAAGTGTGTAGTGTTCATATGATAAATTTACCATATGAGTACTACTCACATGCAGTACTGCTCACATGATAAAATTGTCGGTAAATCTGTCATATTTCTCTTTTATTTCTTTTTAAAAAATTATATATTTCTTAGTCCAAATCGGCATTTTTACACTTCGAAACATTTATTTTATTTATTTATAATGCAAACTCGAATAAAAAAACGTCAATTTAAATGTTCAAGAGAAAAGAATTTACGGTAAGAAAAAAATATTTTACCGTAACGTTCCAATTCGGTTTTTTCGCCAAACCGAATTCAGCTTAAGTTACCACCAAATCTTTTCGCTTACTCCCAATTTTTTTTACTGGGAATATAAAAAAAACTGAATGGAAGGAATTTTTTTTATATATCTGTATTCTGGGACTATTACAAGTTTTCTTTAGTAGCTGTTCCACTGCTGTGAGAAGAAGAACCCCTATACTCTATCGGACTGGGCCTATTTCAGGACCTCGCGAAAGGCAGACATTGCGGTAGGCCTGAGTGGCGTTATCGGGCATAGTCATTGGTAAGTAAAGTATGGGTTCACCACTTCCACTCACGGGAATTAAACGGTCATCACCTGTGTCACGTATACAATAATAGAAAACAAATTTCCCTCAACCCAAGGCTGTGTGGATAAAACGGGCGATCACGGATTGCGTCCTGTAAAGGGAACTGGTGTACTCCTACTCAACAGGCATGGCTCAAGCTTGGACCTCAAGTAAGTCAATTACAGCGCGGGGCCTGTGTGGCGTTCTCAGTCTTAATGACAATATTATTTTATAACGCTTAATGAGTTTTTCATCAAAATTATAAAATTTTTAAATATAAACATTTTTTAATTTATTTTGATATATTTCTCGGAATTTCACGATTACCAGCATATGTTGTTCCAAATATATATGTTAATATTCAAAAGTTTTATAATTTTGGTACAATAAACCTATACGATGTATTTTAAACCAATTTAACCCAAAGGTACTGGCACCAAAGATTTTCTTCTTCATTTTGATTCTCCAGTATAAGCACATGGTTATAGCTTGGGCGCGGCTGGTAAGATGAGGGACACCACTTCTCCTTACAGGACAGTAATTAAACGATCACCGACCATCTTATATAAACAATAATAGAAAATAAACCCTCAACCGAAGGCTGTTTTTGACGAAACAAATTGCAGGTAGAAACCCTCGAGAACCCTCATTATCAAAGCAAAAATGTATATGTATATATAATCTAATAATAACGAGAAATTTTAAGTGCTAAGAAAATGTGAATGAATGAAGGAAGGAATGAATACATGGATTATTATAAGATAATAATAATAATAATTAATATTAAACATAACACAGGCACTCAAAAAAAAGTTGTTTGTTTTTTGAACTAGACATACCATTCCTATTGTATTTTGGCCCCCTGAAGACGAATATGAAGTCACAATAGCTCAATCACCCTCTGATTTTTTTTAAACGAAAAAAACCACCCTTAATGGTCAAATTCAAACTTAGGAGATAAAAAATTAAATAACAGGTTTTTGTAATAAATAGAATCTTACACCTACGTATTTTTGCTCCACTAACACAAAAACAATGACAGGACTGATCCAGTACCTTCGGATTTTTTTTAAATTGAAAAAACCACCCTTAATCGGACAAATTCAAAATTAGGAGATAAAAAAATTAAAAAATAAATGTTCCGTTTAAAACAAAACCTTACACTTACGTATTTTGGCTCCACTAACTCAAAAACAAAGCCAGAACTGATCTATCTGAAAAATCAAAAGCAAGTACAAATGAACTTTATATTACCTATGATACGGAAGAGACCATCATGCCAAAAAGATTACTACATTTGTAAT